TAGAAAAATGTTGTAAATGATAGTTCACCGAAAGACATACAGGACAGTCAATCTCATAAGAAAATGCAAATGTAAAACCACATTAAGATGCCATTTTTATTTTATTGCAAAGATTTAAAAGTTAGATGACTTTTAGTGAAGATGTGAGGAAACATAAATATGTTCCTTTTGGAAGAATAAATTAGCAAAAAGCTGACTTAAAACAATCTGGCTTATTTGTCAAAATTCAAATGTTTATCTTGGCTGGATACAGTGGCTCACGCCTGTAATCCCAGCACTTTGGGAGACTGAAGTAAGTGGATCACCTGAGGTCAGGAGTCCAAGACCAACCTGGCCACCATGGTGAAACCCCATCCCTACTAAAAATATAAAAATTAGCCAGGTATGGTGGCACCGGCCTGTAGTCCCAGCTACTTGGAAAGCTGAGGCAGGAGAATTGCTTGAACCTTGGAGGCAGAGGTTGCAGTGAGTCAAGATCATGCTACTGCACTCCATCCTGGGTGACAGAGCAAGACTCTATCTCAAAACAAAACTTCTGCTGATGCTGGGGGGAAAAATGCATATCTTGATTCTTGGAAGTTCAGTTTAAGGGAAGATATTCAAATATTTTCTGCACATCAAAGTTATTCATGCCACTACATTAGTGTAGTGTGGGAAGTAAAATTTTTCAAAATAAAACAAGGAGTTATTCATGCTAAGGGTATTAGTTTTAACATTATGATAGTGAAATATTGTGAACAATATAAATGTCTTTAATTAGGAGATATTGATAAATTATGTTACAGTTATGCAGTAGAGTTAAGGAAGCTCTGTGTAATGGCATGAAAGAGGTTCAGGGATATTGTATTATATCGGGGTTGGCAAATGTTTTCTTAAGTGCCAGGCAGTAAATGTTTCAGGCTTTTCCGGCAATGTGGTCTCTGTTGAGACTGCTCAGTGCCATTGTTGTAGGAAGGCAGCCACAAACCATTCTTAAATGAATGGGTATGGCTGTGTTTCAGTAAAACTTCAATTACAATGACAGGTGACTAGCTGGCAAGCCATAGTTGCTGTACCTTTATTAAGTGAATGATGCAAAGTGAAGATCCTTAATATGTAAACTATAGTGGAAGTAGGAATTAATTATCGAAAGCATAGAAAAGAGAATTCAAGGAACTTTGCCTGGGATATGTAGGAAATATAGATGAAGTGACAATTTAAATGATAAAGTAATAATTTGAGTTTCTCTGGGAAAAAGCTCTAAAGATTAACATGAGAAAGTCTTTTCTGGGATCAGTGAGAAGGTCGTCTGGCTGAAAGAGAGTTCTTTGTTGGGAGGTGATGAAGAGTTAAATTAGGATTATATATTTGAAGGTGCTAAACACTTCTGATTTATAGTATATTTCTGTGATGAGTAAAAAAAGTTTTGGCTGGGTATGGTAGCTCACGCCTGTAATCCCTGGACTTTGGGAGGCCAAGGTGAGTGGGTTGCTTGAGCCCAGGAGTTCAAGACCAGCCTGGGCAACACGGCAAAACCCCATCTCTTAAAAAGTATAAAAATTAACCAGGTGTCGTGACACACACCTTGTAGTCCCAGCCACTTGGGAGGCTGAGGCAGGACGATTGTCTGAGCTTGGGAGGCAGAGGCTCCAGTGAACTGAGGTAGCACTGTTGCACTCCAGTCTGGACAACAGAGCAAGACTGTCTCAGATTAAAAAAAAAAAATTCAGTAGCTCTGTTAAGCCTTGACATTTTGCCATATTTGCTTTAGATATTAAAAAAAAAAATTTTTTTATTGCTCCTACAGAGCAGGGCCACCCCACAGGCAGTATGCTCAGGGCAGCTGTATTTTTTAAAAGAAACAATTTTATTTTTGTTTTAAAAATTTTGATGTAATAAAAGATTATTAGTGAGATTATTTTTCATTACTTTTTTTTTTTTTGAGACGGAGTCTTGCTCTGTCACCCAGGCTGGAGTACAATGGCACGCTCTCAGCTCACACAACCTCCACCTCCCGAGTTCAAGCAATTCTCCTGACTCAGCCTCCCAACTAGCTGGGATTTTAGGTATGCACCACCACACCTGGCTAATTTTTCTATTTTTAAGTAGAGATTGGTTTCACCATATTGGTCAGGCTGGTCTCGAACCCCTGACCTCGTGATCCGCCCGCCTCAGCCTCTCAAAGTGCTGGGATTACAGGTGTGAGCCACCGCGCCCAGCTTCGTTCCTTTTTATACTGTCTTTAAATTTGGTGTTTATTTTACACTTAACAACATGTCTCAATTTGCACTAGCCACATTTTAAGTATTCAGTAGCCACATGTAGTTAGTGGCTTTTACTGTACTGGAGAATGAATAGCTGTGATTCAGAGAACCATTGTAGGTACTTAAAAGTTGTATTTACTTCTACCACTAGGGGTCAGCCAAGTTTCATAATGTTGACTTAACAAGACAGCATTTTGTGTTCAAGTTTTAAAATTTACAGCTTGCCGGGCACAGTGGCTCATGCCTGCAATCTCAGCAATTTGGGAGGCGAGGCTGGTGCATCACGAGGTCAGACATTTGAGACCAGCCTGGCCAACATAGTGAAACCATATCGCTACTAAAAATACACACACACAAAAAAAATAGGGCATGGTGGCAGGTGCCTGTAATTCTACTGAGTCAGGAGGCTGAGGCAGGAGAATCGCTTGGAACCTGGGAGGCAGAGGTTGCAGTGAGCCGAGATCACGCCATTGTACCCCAGCCTGGGCAACAGTGTGAGACTCCATCTTAAAAAAAAAAAAATTTACAACTGTAATGCAAAGATCGTTCTGTGTGCAACAAAGGAAACCTCTGTCGAGAACAGTATTTACTGCTGGTGAAATAGCTGGAGCAGAATGGGTGATGGAATGTGATCCATGGCCTCTTTAGACACATGGGCTCTATGTCTGTCCTTACAGATGTATCCTTTTCCATTCTTGTTTGTCTTGAATAAACTGTTGAAACTTTTCGTCCTGTTATTAGGAAGGTCATATTTATAATAAATGTACTGCTTCTCCGTATTTGGACCTTATTAACTAGGTAAACTTGTTGGCTTGCTTATTTTTGCGAAGAATCTCAAGTAGGCACCATTTGATTACGGAGCCACATAACCTATGTCTCTATTCTGCTTTTAAAAATGTTTCAGCCTGGTTTAAGGTATTCTCATCATAAAGGTCTGTATTAGATTTATATTTCTTGTTCTCCACAGAAATGGCCTCATAGAAATGCCCTAGACTTCATATGAATTTATAGCAGAAATGTCTACTTAGAGTGCCTTAGTTTCATACACACCATAGTTAGAGGAACTTTTCATTATGCTGCTAATATCCCTTGTATAAAAAAACCCAATGAAGAAAATCTAGCCAAGATCAAAGAGTTAGGGAAAAATTCTCTCCATCTTACCTGTTCATTGCATAGTTCTTAATCTTTTTTTTTTTGTTCTAGAGGGTTTGCTTTGATGCATTTCTTATATGTCCACTGAAATCTTCTTTGTCATAATAAAATCCTCGTTGTCATTGATAAAAGCAGCCATTAAGTTAACTTTCTGTAAGTTACCAAAATAATTGTTGTTAACATTGGCACAGCTCTTCCTTCAGGTTAGCATAATTTCTAACTTCTACGTGATAATATTTTACTGGGGTCATCAGCCATTCGGAAATTGATTGCTAGTTATTTTTATATAAATATTTAAATACTCTATGAATTTGCTTCCAAATCCTTTTGCTTTCTGTAGTATGACTTTGATCAGATAATTTAAAAAAAAATTCAAAGCTGAGAACAGCCACTTGCTGGAGTAGGGGTGGAAGTGCATGTTATGATTGGGCAGATGGGACCTGAGAAAAGAAAGGTAATTCTCGAGAATAGGGGTTTTGGTGGGTCTGGTAGAGAGTGAGAAATGAGAGTGAGTTAGGTCTGAGTAGAGTGCCGCAATGGCAGGTCCCTTATATAAGGAATAGCAGAGTCCTGGAGCTATGAGTTTTCAAAAGCCCCACAGTGTTCGTTCTTTTTTATTTTGAAGTGGGATATGCAAAGTTTATATGGGCTACTAGTAAAGTGCCCTGTTGCTGCTTGGAGCATGACAAATTTAAAAACCATGTAGTTAAAAGAGAATTTGTAGAAGTAGACTTGGATATTGGATTTGATTTGTGAACCAAATTTAGGAAATTAGTAGTGAAATTTATATTTACTTGACATATTAGCTGATTATATACATTTCCCTTTGGCTTCTTATAAGACTACAATTTTAGTTTCCTCAGGATTATACTGATTTGTCAAAATTCCGGAGAAAAGGCCTTGCTTTGGTAAAGCTTTTAGTGGTTTGAAAGTGGAATAATGGCTGTTACACTGAAGGAAATATGTAATGGCATTGTGATGCTAGTAGGTAGAAATCAGTTTGGTTGTGAACCTCTGATTTGATGTAATATATTTGCTATCATGTATGCTTAATTAGAGGGCTGTTTCCCATTTCCCCATGAAAATATCCCCTCTCCCAAATTCTTTCGTCAACTAAAATATTTAAGGATTTAGAGATATACCTGACACATTAAATGCTATGTCTGTAAACAATTGGGTTACATATAAAATTTAGAAATAAAGTTATGTTGTATTTATTGTCCCATATGATGAACTATTTTTTTTCAAACTCTTCATATTTAATTGGGATCCCTTTGGAATAATTTGTCTTTCTAAGATAGTTGTTCAGGGTGACAGCTGTTAGGAATATGAATGACTTTATAAGTCTTCAGATTTAAGAGTACTCCTTTTTTCTGAAAAATAGTTTTTGAGGGCTAAAACCCTCATCTCATATCTGAACATACATAATAAATTCTTATACCTCTTATTTTTGATATGTAGAAGTATTTCTTGATTGTAAGAAGTCAGTTTTAGTGAGCTTATTCTTATTGAGTAAATGAGTAAGTTTTTAGTTGTTAATGTGGATTTTGTCTTTTTCGTTTTTTTCTTTGAGGGGTTGGACATAATTGCCTTATTTCATTTCAGGGATCCTTCTAAAGTAAATATTCTGGTACCTGGTGCTGGACTAGGAAGACTGGCCTGGGAAATAGCTATGCTAGGTTATGCTTGTCAAGGAAATGAATGGAGTTTTTTTATGCTCTTTTCTTCCAACTTTGTACTCAACAGGTATTTAATTTATTTTTTGCTGGAAATAGTAATTTCTCAGAATCAGATTGACTTACCTTTTTCTTGAACAATTTTGAATTTGAAGATAAGTACATAGTATTGATTATGATATATGTCACAAATGTTTCTTATGTTGAAATTAAAGATACGGATTATCACTTGAACCAATTGCCTAGTTATCAGAATGTTGAAACAGGATGGGTAAGTGACTTTCTAGAAAGTGATTGGACATTCCATGAAATGATTTCTATACAAATCTTCAGGACTAAGTATGAACCAGGAAGGAGTATTTAAGCGGCCAAGTATGCTCTCATGACTGAGATGGAAAGATCTCTTAGAACTTCTGTGGCCTCTTTTGGAAGGCAATGGAAGACAGTTGTTATTTTTAAAGCCAGAAGATGTATATTAAGTAGCTGCCTTATTTAAAGAATACATTGTCTCAGATGGCAGTGTGAGTTTTAGGGGGTTAGTGAAAAAGAGAAAAAGAAGAGGGTTATAAAAAAAAATAGATAGCAAACTGTTTTAGTTAAAACCAGTACCATTTAAAAAAAACTAGCTGAATTGTTTTACTTGGTTTTGAAGTTTAGAAATAAATTTTTTAAACTTTGGATGAACAGTATATTTTTATCTCTGAATTTACTTTTTTTTCTGTTATTAATCCATGATTGGTTGCTCATGTACATGTATATGTACATTTTCAGATAATCAGGGAAGCTGTTGTAGTGACTTTTTAAGTAATAATGAATTACATATGCAAATCTTCAATTAAACAGAATATTTTAGTATTTAAAGTGGATTTTCTTGGCAAATATTTAGGTTAACACCTGATTTTATGCTCATATTTTGCAGATGTTCTGAAATTAATAAATATAAACTTTATCCTTGGATCCATCAGTTTAGCAATAACCGGAGATCAGCTGATCAGATTCGACCCATCTTTTTCCCTGATGTTGACCCCCACGGTCTTCCTCCTGGTTCTAACTTTTCTATGACAGCAGGAGATTTTCAGGAGATTTATTCAGAATGCAGTAAGTTCAAATCAAGCATTTAGAAAGTCTTGTCCTTTATTCTAAATTTATGAGCTAGTTTTATCCTAAGCCAAGGTTTAGATCACTCATTTTGATGGTAGAACCTAAGGCATACGTCAGTGTCAATTTAGAGATTTTCAAGGTCCATATACAAGGCATCGATAGGAAATGAAAAGAAGTGTAAGATTATCTACAGTCAAGAAATTTAGGATCTATTGGGCCCATTAATACTAAAAGATATGATGTAAACAAAGTTTAAATGAGTAATGAATACTAAAAAAAGAAAGGTTATTAGTGTGAGAAGGAAGCTGTTCATAGTGAGGCTATGACTTGAAGGCTGAGAGAATAGCATTTGAGGCAGACAGAAGTACAAAGATATGAATAAGATGATTGAGGATGGCAGCACAGCTGTACTGGCAAGGAAAGAAAAGCTTTAATGAAAGATTTAATGGGATTTAATGGGAGATATTGCTAGAAAAGTAAATTTGTTCCAGATCATGGAGGACTTTTGTAGTCAGGCTGTGCATTGACTTCAGCCTGGCAAACTGTTGAAGAAATCTGAGCTAGGGATGAGAGAAAGGGAGATGGTAATGGGGAAAGTGGAGAGGGAGACTGGCAGTAAAAGGAGAAAAAAATAGAATACTGAGGGTTCAGCAAAATCATTCAGTCAGTAGGTACTTGTTGAGTACCTACTAAGTAGCAGGTATGTTCTAGGTGTCAAAAGAGAACAGGGAACAAAACAAAGTCCCCATCCATGGAGAACTTCTATTCTAGTAGAGAAAGTGAGGCAATGACAAATATAATATTGTGAGAAAGAAAATTTAAGGCAGGGAAGAGGGGTTACAGAGTGACTGGGGAGGGGCTGCTTCTTTTTATAGAGTTGTCAGGGAAAGCCTTTCTAAGAGCAGAAACTTAAAAAAAAAAACGTCTAGCAGAGAACCTTGAAAGAGTACAGAGGCAAACCATTGAGCTCTTTGAAGGGAAAATGTTTTAGATAGGGAATGGCAAGAAAGGAGGGTTAGGGAGTAGAGAGCGTGGTTGCTCTGCTTAAGGAGGAGCTGGACTGTACTAAGCAATGGGTACGGTGGTGGGAAGTCAGCATCGAGAGGATTTGATGAGGCAAACTTGTAGGCAGGCCATAGTAAGAACTTGGAATTGTACTCAGAGAAACAGGACGCCATTGGAGGGCTTGAAGCAGAAGTAGCAACAACATAGATTGTTTTTATTTATTTATTTAACCACATGGAAAGCTTTTATTTTTCCCTGAACTATGTATGAGATTGGGACAACCTGTATTCTGAAGGAATTAGAGTTGAAAGATGTAAGGTGTTGGGGATAAGGAATGAAATAATGGAAAACACCACTTAGGCAAGGAAAAGTCCCCTTTTTCTGGAGCAGGGCTTGAGAGAACAAATGATAAAGGTACTCCTCCATGGGATCCAATAAAAAATACAATTAAAAAATGCCTTTATTGCACCAGGATTTGTACAGACACCATACCTCCAAGAGAAAAACGGTGTTCTCTACTGGATTTTCACCCATTGCTTCTACCTGCCCTTGGTTCCCCTTTTTTCCTGGTAATTATTTGCAGTTGTAGTAGATCTTGAGGTATTTGGATGTCATTGATTTCTTAGTTGGCAACTAGTGCCTGCAGTCTTTCTGAAACCTACCAGACTTGGTGGTTAACACTAGTGTAAATTGGAATGACTATTATTTTGTTTTAAGTGATTTTAAATGAAGCCTACAATTTGAATAGTGTATAAACAAAATTTTTTTTCTTTTTGAGGCGGAGTTTTGCTGTTGTTACCCAGACTGGAGTGCAATGGCACGATCTCGGCTCACCGCAACCTCTGCCTTCTGGGTTCAAGCAATTCTCCTGCCTCAGCCTCCCGAGTAGCTAGAACTACAGGCATGCGCCACCATGCCCAGCTAATTTTTTGTATTTTTAGTAGAGACGGGGTTTCACCTTGTTGACCAGGATGGTCGCGATCTCTTGACCTCGTGATCCACCTGCCTCGGCCTCCCAAAGTGCTGGGATTATAGGCGTGAGCCACAGCGCCCAGCCAACAAAACTCTTACAAATATAATTCGGTAATAATATGTTGAGATTAGATTATAATAAACTCTTACAGATATAATTTGGTAATAATACGTTGAGATTAGATTATAATATCTGTGTTATTTGGGATAATTTCCAAATTGATTACTTAATCAGGCTATTGATATCAGTATTTCCGATAAGTGATTATTAGGTTACCATGATTATAGTGGTGATCAGAAGTTTAGCTTCTGTATTTCTATCAAATATTAATACTCTGTAAAAGGTAACTGGCAACTTTAAAGGATTAATTAAAAGAAAAAAGCAAAGTAACAGATGCAGTAATTTAATTTTTCTTGATTAGATACCTGGGACTGTATTGCTACCTGTTTCTTCATAGACACAGCTCACAATGTAATTGATTATATTGATACAATATGGAAAATACTCAAGCCAGGTGGAATTTGGATAAATCTAGGTAAGTTTTTTAGTATTTACTAAAATTTTATATGTTAATCTGAGTACTTACAGCTATTTTATATTTAACTTACAGTCTCAAATGTTCATGAATATTAGAATTATCTTGTAAATGTTTTAAAACCTCCGCAGTTTCCTTTAGACTGCATCCTGGTGGTGATGCCTCCAAAGGCAGTGGAAGCTCAAAAGTTGTATATTCATACTTAGATCAGTCTCACAGTCATTGAAATTTCAGTGTATACTAATTGTTGATCTGATGGTAGGTAATCATTTCCTCATTATCTCCATCCCACATGCTGAGACAGTGGTCCCTTCTGTTAGGAAGAGAGTGATCTGTTTTTTGTTCTATAATGAACCATAAGGGAAGGATTTTACCTTTCCCATGGAATCTTCCTCCTCATTACATCCATATTCTGCTTAGTACTCGATGCTAGAAATTTCTTTATTATCTTGGGTTAATTTGTAAGTTAGCATTAACATCCTGTATTTATGTGATTAAATTTTTTGGCCCCCATTACTGAGGTATGGTAAGGTTTTATGTATTTCCAGAGTATGTGGCTTAACTTTCATAGAAACAGCTTTATTTTGAATGTTTGTTTTGTTGGTTTATGCATATTTTATTGAGTTATGTCATACAATAGTTGTGACTACCTGAAGCAAATAACGTTGGCTCCTGATAAGTATACTGTTTGATAAGAGTAGATGTACTAAAATGTGACTTATGATCTGTCATGGGCATCAGAAGTAATGGAGAACATTGGTTAACAGGAAGTCAATTAGGAGAGCTAATTCCACTATGGAGTTTCAAAACAATTTTGGAAATTGTAATATGGAGAAACACAGTCCTTAAAAATAGTTATTTGGAAGGTTAATACTTTATAAAATATTAACATATATCTTTTGCATGTATAAGTTAAAGAATGTAAAAAAAAAAAATCTCAGAATCAATTTTCTTTTAAATATTGGTGTGTTCCGAGCATCTATTCAGTGTTTTTCATTTTTTATGCCATGTACTCATTTTTGACTCCATATTCCTCCTACCTGATTGCATGGCTTTTCTTACTCTTTCAATTCCCAAGCTTTATCTCTGATCAAACATCTCTCTTGTGCTCCAGGCCAATATGTCCAACTTGGGTGTATCACAGATACTTCAAAATCTTTGTGTCTCCAGACCAGCCTGGGCAACATGCTGAGACTCCATCTCAAAGAAAAACCAGAACAAAACAGAAAACAATTCCATGCCACCCAGTATCTTTTCTATTCATCATCTACTCAGATTCCCCCAACAAAAATACTGGGAATCTGTCATTACCCCTTTTATTAGTTCACTCAGGCTACCATAACAATACCACAGATTGGGAGGCTTAAATAACAGAAGTTTATTTTCTCACAGTTCTGAAGACTGGAATTCCAAGTGCCCGCCAGGTTGGTGTCTAGTGAGGGCTCTTCCTTTGAGTTGCAGGGTACGACCGTCTTGCTGTCTATTCACATAGCCTTTCTTTGGTTGTGCATAAGGGGAGAAAGAGTGCATGAATGAGCTCCTTGGTATGTTTTCTTTTTTTTTTTTTTTTTTAATTTTTTTTTTTTTTAAGACAGGGTTTCACCATGTTGGTCAGGCTGGTCTTGAACTCCCAACCTCAGGTGATCTGCCCGCCTTGGCTTCCAAAGTGCTTGGATTACAGGCGTGAGCCACTACTGCTTGGCCATATCTTTTCTTATAAGGACACTAATCCTATTGGATGAGGACCCCACCCTTAAGACCTCATTTACCTTTATTACTTCCTTTGAAGTCCTACCTTCAAATATAGCCTCACTGAGGATTAGGGCTTTAACATATGAATTTAAAGGCAGGGGAATATGAACAGTCAATAGGACCCTCTTTTTCCTCACTGTTTGCCTCTAGTCTGTCTAAAAGTTATCTCCTAAAGCTACTGAATTGCTCTTGAATATCTCTTGCAGGGTTTCTCAACTGTGGTATTGATGTTTGAGCTGGATCACTGTTCAGTGGGAGTGGTGAGGGAAGTGGGGGGTCTGGCCTGTACACTGTAGGATGGTTAACAGCCTACCTAGCCTCTAAGAATCCAGTAGTGTCTCTCAGTTTTAACAATCAAAATGTCTTTAGATATTGAAACATGTTGCCCTCTGGGGAGTGGAGGGCATTGGCATAGTCATCCGCAGTTCAAAACCATTGCTCTAATATCACGGTTTCTTGTCTAGATTAGCATTAGGATGACTGTAGTAGTTTCCTTAAGGATGTCCCCATCTTCGAGTTGTCTTCAGCCTTTTTCATTTCTCCACATAATCACCAGTGACCTTCCTATCATGCAAATCTGTTCCTGTAAGACTCCCTGCATGAAATTCTAGCTTTCTGGAAAACCTAAACTCTTCAGGATTTATGTACAATGCCCTTATGATATTTCTTCTGTTTTGTGTCTCAGTTTCTTTTCTATTGTTGTTTTTTACCACCCTTTCTCTGACATCAAGTGCCAGTCCTTTGACTTAGCCCTTTCTCTTTCTCTTCTGTTTTCCCTTGGGTAGTTCCTATGTGTTCTTAAACATTTAGCTCAGGTGATCCTTTCGGGTTGGGTTAAGTATTCTGTATTTCTTTATGTTCTAAGAGACTCTACTGTAGCCCATACCTCAGTTTGGTGTTAGCACCCATAGGCTTTTGTTTCCCCTGCTAGTCTCTAAGCTCCATGAGGGCAAAGATCTAAAGCTTCCTATTCACCTGGTACAAAGCCTGGCAAACAGTGGATATAAATAATTGTTACATGTACGTATAAATGTATTGTTTCAAAATTTGAAAAAGGAAACATACTAAGGTGTCTTGAAGGAAAAGTGACTGCCAGAAGACATGATAATCTGCCATTTATATTGGTAAATTCATAACATTCTTAGGGTTTTTGCGTTAGTTGTATGGACCTGGAGGCTTAATTTTCTCTATAAACTGAGAGGTCAACCTCTTGGGGATGATTTTACCCTAATCATGCTTATGTAGACTAGAATGTCAATATATTCATATATTTTGAGAAATCTAATACTCAGCCATTCTGGAACAAATGACATTGGAGGTAAAATTATAAATGAAACTGTTGCTCAAATTACATGAAGTCGATTTGGGGGGAGATTATTAATTTACAAAATGCTTTAATTAAGAAAGATTTGATGGACTAGCAAACACTATCCAGTTTAAGGAAAGCTAGTAAGCCTTTTAAGGGAACTGTTATGCATATGTTCTTTGGTTAAGGCTATGCTTTTGGCAAAGAACAGAAGAATACCTGTAATTCCCTTTTTCAGTTTTTCATGCTTACCAGCACTACTTAAACATATTTATTTATAATTTCTTCTAAAAAGAGAATGTGTGTGTATGTATACACTGATAAAATTGTAGTCAAGTCGTAGAGGGCAGGCATTTAGCTACATCTAGAAGAATTAATAAAATGAATCTAACCACATCTGAAGAATTAAAACGTTTGGTAACTACCTACGTTGTGAAACAACTAGATATTCCAGGCCCATCTTGTACTTTGTCTGACCAGCCATTATTTCTGAGGATCCCTGGTTCCTTTTAATGGGGAATGGTTTATAGAAATGACAACTCTAGGGTCTACCACTGGAGTGGTATTGCTTCTAGGCCTTTTTGGCAAACAAGGTAAGAAATGCATGTATATGTCTGTCTATAAAAATCGTAAGTACATGTGTGTCTACAAAAATCATGAGTTCATCAAAGGAGGGCCTTAAGAAAAACTAAACACACACACATACATACATACACACACATATACAGGCAAAATCATGAGTTCATGCTGATAACTTTAGTTCCAATGCAACACTAAGGATACAGTACTAAGGGCAGGTAGCTTTCAACACTGAGAATATATCACACCCAGTGGCCTCAAGCTTCTGTCTTTGCTGTTGAGAATTCAGCTTTTTAAAATGTTGCTCCTCTGAAGGTAATCTTTTTTTCACGATTTTTACTTTGTAGTTTTTAGCAAGTCTAATAGTATATCTAGGTGTGGATTTCCCTTTTTGATCTGTGCAGTTTGTTATGCTTCTTAAGTCTATGAATTGACCTTATCAGTTGTGAAAAATTTCAGCTTTGTTGGGGTTTTCCCCGACCAATCATAGGTTTAGCATTAAAATATGTAACAACAGCCATTATTTCTTCACTTACTGCCTCTGCCTCATTCTTTTTCTCTGTTATTTTTTTTGTCTGGAAATGCAATCAGATGTATTTTAGGACTTCTCATGCTAGCTTTTATATATCTTAACCACTTATCTTGGTATCTTTCCCACCGTGGCTGCATTCTGGATAGTTTCTCTGACTGATAGTCCTTTATTTTAAAATACTTAGCATATTATGTCTTATAATTCTAATATCTCAAGTCTTTGCAGGTCATTTTCTGTCTTCTCTTGGTTTTGTTGGTTCTTGTTTATAATTCCTTGTTTCTCTGTGCTGTTGACCATGTGTTTATTGGGGATTGTGCTTGAGAAATCGCACTTCGGATTTCTTAAGGCCTGGATTGAACAGTTTTTCCCCAAAGGAATATTTCCTTCTGCCAGGAGATTAGAACATTGTCAGTCCAGAACTGTTTTAAACTAAATTAGGACTTGAGATGTATGGGACCACCCATGACATGTTAAATTAGGTTGTAAATCTACCCTAGGATTAAACGATGATGTACAACTACCCTTGTCCCTTTAAAGACACTAGATCAACTTCTCATGCAGTCTCATGAGGCTAAAGGATAGAAGTAAGTTTATTATTTCCTACTCTCACCTTAAAGATAGCCTAATAGAAAAGTAAAAAATAAAAAAAGGAAGAAATCAAAGGAGGGCTCAAGAATTAATAGGGGGGAAAAAAAGATAAAGATAGCCCTTACTATTCCTGCTTTAATGTTGAATGATCTCTCAATCATGAAGCAGACCCAGGACTTGTCTTATGTCCCCTTGGTCCAGAGAGTTTATCAAATTGCAGATCAGTTTCTTCTTGGTAGTGAAATATTCTTAGGGTAAAAATGGCATCTAGGTGTACCTCTAGGTTCCTGGTAATTTCTTACTAACTTACAAGGTTTTTGTTTGTTTGTTTTGAGTCAGAGTCTCACTCTGTCACCCAGTCTGGAGTGCAGTGACACAATCTCCACTTACTGCAACCTCTGCCGCTGGGGTTCAAGCGATTCTCCTGCCTTAGCCTCCCGAGTAGCTGGGATTATAGGCACGCACCACCACACTCAGCTAATTTTTGGATTTTTAGTAGACACAGGGTTTCACCATGTTGGTTAGGCTGGTGTCGAACTGCTGACCTTGTGATCCACCCACCTCTGCCTCCTGAAGTGCTGCAATTACAGGCATGAGGCACCACGCCCGGCCAAGATTTTTAGAAGTAAGTTTAATCTACTAGCTTTAATTGTTTGCAATAAGAGTGTAGGCCTGAATGACCTAACCTGCCTTTACAAGAAGCAAAAGTTCCTTTATATGTATATTTTTTCTTTAATGGTTATATTAGTTCATTTCCACACTGCTATAAAGATGCTGCCTGAGACTTGGTAATCTATAAACAAAAGAGCTTTAATTGACTCACAGTTCCACATTGCTGGGGATCTCAGGAAATTTACAATCATGGCAGAAGGGGAAGCAGGCACCTTCTTCACACGTGGCGGGGCAGAGAGAAGGTGAGGGAGGAACTGCCACTTTTAAAGCATCAGATCTTGTGAGAACTCAGTCTCATGAGAACAGCATGGGGGAAACTGTCCACCATGATCCAGTTACCTCCCACCAGGTCCCTCCCTCCATGTGGGGATTATAATTCAAGGTGAAATTTGGGTGGGGGCACAAAGCCAAACCATATCAACCGTAAACTATATGTTTAGATTTTTAAAAAAATATTTAAAGGGGGGAAAAAAAGAAAACTACCCAGAAATGAAATAGGCTGTACAACATAAGTTGCAAGTTATTTAAAAAAATAAAAACTAGATGACATAGCTCATGCCTGTAATCCCAGTAACTTCCTTTTTTTTTTTTGAGATGGAGTTTTGCTCTTGTTACCCAGGCTGGAGTGCAATGGCACAATCTCGGGTCACCGCAACCTCCACCTCCTGGGTTCAGGCAATACTCCTGCCTTAGCCTCCTGAGTAGCTGGGACTACAGGCGTGCGCTACCATGCCCAGCTAATTTTTGTATTTTTAGTAGAGACGGGATTTCACCATGTTGAGCAGGATGGTCTCGATCTCTTGACCTCGTGATCCACCCACCTCGGCCTCCCAAAGTGCCGGGATTACAGGCGTGAGCCACCGCGCCTGGCCAATCCCAGTAACTTCTGAGGTAAAACCAGGCAGATCCCTTGAGGCTAGGATTTCTAGATCAGCCTGGGCAACACGGGAAGACCCTTTGTCTCTAAAAAAAATTTAAAAATTAGCCACGTGCCTGTAGTCCCAACTACTTGGGAGCTGTGGTGGGAGGATCACTTGAGCCCAAGAATTCAAGGCTGCAGTGAACTACGCTTATGGCATTGCACTCCAGCCTGGGTGACAGAGCAAAACTCCAACACTCAGTAAAAAAATGAAAAAAAGAATAAATGGAAACAACCTGTATACAGAAAACAACGTTCATTCTCACTGTTAGTCAAATAAATAGAAATGTGCTACCATTTTTCACCTATCATATTCACTAGGTTTTAAAATTTACTTATTTAAAAGCTTAGGTTATTATGGTGAGATAGGCTGTGCTCTTGTTCTGCTAGTGGGAATGTAAAACGATACGACTTTCTTCTGGAAAAACAGTAGCATACTACAAAATAATGTGTGGAAAACTCTTAAATATTAATACATTTAGTCAGGGATTGGCAAACTACAGCCCATAGGCCAATTTGGCCGGCAGCCCATTTTTGTATGGCCCTACCACTGTAAGTATTTCTTATATTCTTAAAGAGTAACAGGGAAGAACATAAATAACAATATATGGTGGACACTGTATGTGGCACAAAAAGCCTCAAATATTTGCCATCTGGCTTGTTACATAATTAATTCACTATTACCGATATTTATTAGATTAATTATACTTCTAGAAGTCTGTCAGAGGAAAGTAATCAGATATGGGCAGACTAAAGACTGATGAAATGAACAGACATACTCAGGAAGAACTTAGATTGAACTTACATTTCTTTTTTTTTGAGGCGGAGTTTCGCTCTTGTTATCCAGGCTGGAGTGCAATGGCGCAATCTCAGCTCACCGCAGCCTCCGCCTCCTGGATTCAGGCAATTCTCCTGCCTCAGCCTCCTGAGTAGCTGGTATTACAGGCACACACCACCATGCCCAGCTAATTTTTTTTTTTTTTTTTTTTTTTTTTTTTAGTCAAGACAGGGTTTCACCATGTTGACCAGGATGGTCTCGATCTCTTGACCTCGTGATCCACCCGCCTCGGCCTCCCAAAGTGCTGGGATTACAGGCGTGAGCCACTGTGCCCGGCTGAACTTACATTTCTAACAGTAATGGAGTGGATAGTCATAAGATATTCATACAGTAAAACTATTTTCTAGAAATAATGAAATAAGGAAATGTTCCTAATGAAGTATAAGATGTAAAACTATATATGGAATATACTATACACCAAGGAAAGACCACAAAGAGATATGCAAGTGCATACTCTGAATGTTAGGCTTAGAGGTGATTTTTGATTTTTTAATGCTTTTTGATGTTATCTCAGCTTTCTACTTTTGATCTTTTTACTTTTTCTCTTATGATCAAGGAAAAAACATATCTTTGCCCCTTCTGTTATGACCACTAAAAGAATATGAAGAAATCTAGGTGTAGTGTTGCATGCCTGTAGTCCCAGCTATTTGGGAGACTAAGGCAAGAGGATTGCTTGAGCCCAGGAATACTAAATCATCATGGGTCATATAATGAGACACTGTCTCTTAAAAAAAAAAATTAAAAATTAAAGACTATGAAGAGACAAAAGAGTTGAGAAAATAAAGAAGCCTTTGAGGAATGTGTCTCTCTTTTATTCATCTTCATATATATCCAGTGCCAGACATTAGCTAGGTGCTTGGTAAACATTTGTTTAAAAAATGTGCAACTAAGTCAGAAATATGAAAAACCGCACAGCCGCAAAGCGATGCAAATTTAAATTACATATATATATAATTTTCCCTTTTAGAAATTAGCAAATAGTTTGTTTAATAAAAATTCTTGTTGTGTTTTTTTTTTTAAGTTGGATTTTTTGGAGGCATAATTAACATACAAAATTCACCCTTTTTACAAATGTACAGTTTGACGCATTTTGAAAACTGGATAATGGTATAACCAATCAAGACAGTAAATCTTTCCATATCCATCACCCCAAAATGTCCCCTTGTACTCCTTTCTCTCCTTTTACTCCTAATACCATGCGGTCACTACTTTGGATTCTGTTATCTATAGTTTTCCCTTTTCTATAATGTCATATAAATAGAATCATACAGTATGCCACTTTTTGTCTCTGGCTTTCTTAGCATTACACTTTTGAGATCATCATTTTGTTGCATGTACCATTGTGGTGTTCTTTTTAATTGTTGAGTAGTTTTCCATTTGATATATTACATTTTGTTTATCCATTCACTGGTTGGTAGACGTATGGGTTATTCCCAAATTACTGTGATTAAAGTTGTATTAAACATGAATATAAATGAATAAAGTTGCATTAAACATGAGTATAAATCTTTGTGTGGCTGCAAATCTTCATTTCTTTTGTATAAGTACGTAACAGTAGAATTGCTAGGTCACATACAGTGAGTATATCTATAACTTTACAAGAAATTGGCTAGGTGTTTTCCAAAGTGACTGTACATTGCATTTCCACCACTTAATATAAGATATTGAAACAAGTACTTATTGCAGTTGTTAGTGAAAACTTATAACTCTTTGGGAAAGCATTTTTGGCAGTCTGAATCCAGTCAGTAAAAATGTTCATTCTCTGGCCTTTAAGAGTCATCTTTGTAAGAGATAATCTAAAATTTGCACAAGGATATTTGTCAAAGTACCATTGTATTAGAAGACTAAAAATATACACTACAGCTGTTGTCTTTGGTAAAATTTATAAATTCAGCACTAAGCGGAGCATTGTAGTGGGTTTTAAAGAAACTTGAGATGTGTTCCTTGACTTATGTAACTTGTAATCTAGTGAGTAGACAGTGCTGATTAGCTGAAAAATTTTCAGTGAGCAATGCAACACTGCATTAAATGCGTCTTAAAATATGCCACATTAAAGAAGAGTGAGCAGTAGGGGTGAAGACTTGGATGGATTTCAGCAAGGTTTTGAAGCATGGCTAAAGCTTGAGTTGGAGGGGTGGAGATCTCTAGGTGGAACACACCATGGCTAGAGGTAAAAATGGTCCAACTATGTAAAAATCACTGGAATATATGTATGTAGAGATAATAAAACTATGTTATTAGACTCTTTTAATGGAGCAGGAACAGCATGATCTTTAAAAACTGGAATGACTGCTATGAGGCTCTGCATTCTTATAAAAGCTTTGGATAGTCTAGGAAATGGTCAGGGAAATGGTAGAAAATGATTATTTTTCCTAGCAGTGGTCAGGGAAATGGTAGAAAATGATTATTTTTACTAATATTACAAATTTAAGCTGGATAGAGTAGTTTGATAAGGAACCATTGTTATCTTTTGTAAGTAGCAGTAACATATACATTATATTCATGGTTTTTTTTCTAGTCATTTGTGTAGGAAAGAGAAAGGAGAGAGGAAGAAAAACTTTTTTACCCTTAGTATCATCCACCAAATGGTAAGCCTCTTGGTAGCAGAAACTTTGTCTTGTTATTAAATACTTTTATCTTCCATGATTAGCACATTGTATGAGGAGTAGGAATAGAGAGCTGGTTGCAGGATTTATAATTACCCATGAAAGGTAGAGAGAAGATTGTCTAGATTAGTCTGAGGTATAACTGTATTAAGTGATAATGGTTCCTGGATGAGGCTGGTGGATTGGGCAAAATGATAGATTGAAAGATTTGGAAGTCATCCTTTAAATCATGTGTTTGTTTCTTGAATGTATGGAATGAGAAGATAGTAAAGAGAGGATGTCGTAAAAATAGTGTAATACCTGTCATTTACTTAGTACCTTGTTTATGACAGGTATAATACATATTATCTCACATTAAAGTCATATTACAGGGTACACATGGTGGTTCATGCCTGTAATTGGAACACTTCGGGAGGCCAAGGCAGGCCGATGACTTGAGCTCAGGGTTTTGAGACCACTCTGGCCAACATGGTGAAAACCTGTCTCTACTAAAAATACAAAAATTAGCCTGGCATGATGATAGGTGCCTGAAATGCCACCTACTCAGGAGGCTGAGGCAGGTGAATTGCTTGAACCTGGGAGCTGGTGGTTGCAGTGAGCCAAGATCATGCCACTGCACCCTAGCTTGGGCAACAGAGTGAGATTCTATTTAAAAAAAAAAAAAAAAGTCATTATAGATGAAGCAGAGTTGGTGAATTGCCCATAGACACACAATTATTAGCTATTAGAGCTGGGATATAAACAGTGCATTTTTAAAAAGCCAGCTCTAGTGTTACTTCCCTTTTTTAGGAAATCTTCCCTATAACTTCTGTCCACCTTTTAATACCTAGGTTAACTTGAGGCGCCTCTGTTTTCATTTGATAAGCAGTTTGTATCTGCAGTTTTGCATTTACTTACGGAATTATAATTGCAGAACACATTTGGAATCTGAGGACTTAGCATCAGTCTCTGATTCCTCTACTCCTTCAGTAACTTAAAAGTTGAAGGTGAAGGCCTATGGTATGAATCACAGTGCAAGGCAGGTATACCAGAGGGACTCACTCCCCATGAGTGTAGGCTCAGCTCTTGGGTGTCAGATACTAGGCCAAATTTTCAGAGGTCTGGGCATTTTCAGCAAATGTAAAGTTTCTTCTTTTTGTTTATCTCATCCAGTACCTAACTTATTCAACTTGGAATTCAGTGTAACACAGCTACGAGTATATGTGCATTCAAGTAATTCACAGTATCTTTAAACCACAGGTCCTCTGCTGTACCACTTTGAAAATTTGGCAAATGAACTTTCCATAGAATTGAGCTATGAGGATATAAAAAACGTTGTTCTGCAGTATGGATTCAAGGTAGAGGTAAGAATGAAATGAAATATTGCCAAAGTTTAATTTCCACAGTGCCTCAACAGAAATGTTGATATTATGGCTGTTACTAACTTTTTGAATTCTCTGTTTTCTTATCTATAAAGGAAAGATAATACAGGTTGAGTATCCCTTATTCGAAATGCTTGAGACCAGAAATGTTTCGGATTTTGGATTTTTTCCAATTTTGCAATATATACATATACATAATGACATATCTGGGGTGGGGACTGAAGTCTAAATGTGAAATTCATTTATGTTTTATGTATGTGCCTTATACGCATACCCCAAAGGTAAAGGTATACAATATTTTAATATTTTGTGCACCTGCCACAAGAAGTCATCTGTAGAATTTGTCACTTGTGGCATTATGTAGGTGCTCAAAACATTTTGGATTTTGGAGTGTTTCAGATTTTCAGAGTAGGAATGCTTGACCTGTGTTACTTAGCTTTCAGAATTACAAGGATTTGGGATAATGTGTGCTTAAAGGGAAAACTCTACTTACTGGTGAAATACCCTTTCAATAAATGGTTGCTGATCATTATAATACTGGCCTTGCAGACTCTCACTGATAGATACAAAGTAGACTAGTCTCTGGGGAAAACAAAAAGGGATAGGAGGGCTGGTATAAGAGGGATATTCACAATATGTCCTTGTGTACTGCCTGATACTTTTTTAATTAGTTGCATTACTATAAAGTTGTTTTTTTTTTGAGACGAGTTTTACTCTTGTTTACCCAGGATGGACTGCAATGGTGCGATCTCGGCTCACTCCAACCTCCGCCTCCTGGGTTCAGGCAATTCTTCTGCCTCAGCCTCCTGAGTAGCTGGGATTATAGGCACGCGCCACTATGCCCAGCTAATGCATTATTATGATTATTAGCCAAAAGTTTTATGATATTTTGGCTATTGTGTTTCAGTTTATTTATTTACAAACATTCCATTTTAAAAACAATAGATTTGTTTTTAAGAATGAAGAAAAGCTATATATTATAGTAGTTGAGAGCTCAAGACTGCCCGAGTTTGAATCTCAGTTCCACCACTTAATAGTGTGACTGTTCTTTTTAAAGTGAAACTACTGATATTAATAGTTCCTCTTTTATGGGAGTAGTTGTATGTAATAAATGAATATGCTTAAAAATAGTGCCTGCTACTGATACATATGTGCTCAGAATTTGTTAGTGGTGTGCTTATCATGACTGTCGTAGTCAGTGTTATGATTATTGTTTGCATTGCAGGTGGAAAAAGAATCTGTGTTGTCAACATATACTGTGAATGATCTCTCTATGATGAAATACTACTATGAATGTGTCTTGTTTGTGGTCCGTAAGCCACAATGATGGTCTCAAGTGATACCACCTGGAAAAAGTTTAGTAAGAACAAATGCTGAAATAAACGACTCAAAATCAACTATCAGTGATGACAGGACACAACCTCAAATCAGTGGTGCCTTCTTATTCCTAATGAAATTTAGAAATAGTGTCTATTTTCTTAATGTCTATTGCTTTTTCAGAAATATACTATGCCATGCAGATTTATACTACACAAGTAAAAATGGAGGAAATGTCTTGAAGTATACTTTTTCCTTGAAGCCCAGAATTGTGTTTCAGTATGAAAAATACCTAATCTCCAGTGTCGTCATGATGCTGTCCATTGCAAGTCTGCCGTATTAATGACTAATAGTATTGAGGTCCTAATAATCTTCCCTTTTTTTGTTGTTTTGTACGCATTGCACATGTTACTTTTAGAAGAGTCTAAGGATCCTGAGTCATATTCAACATCTGGAGTTGGGACTTTAATCACTTTCAATCTAAGAAAACTATGCGTAAAATGTGTCTTTTTTTTTTTCTTTTCTTTTCTTCAGAGACAGGATCCTGTTCTGTCTCCCAGGGTGGAGTATAGTGGCACGATCATAGCTCACTGTAACCTCAAACTCCTGGGCTCAAGTGATCTTCCTGCCTCAGCCTCCCGAGTAGCTAGGACTATAGGCGTGTACCACCACGCCTGGCCTGTGACTATTCTTTTATCATTCAGATTAATTTGATTTTATATTTTCTAGCTCAGATGAACTTAAGCATCAAACATTTCATTTTTATGCAATGTTAAATTATTAGTATCACAGCCAGTAAAGTACGTTCAAGTAACTGAGAAATTATCAAGTCTTTTGGCCACAATAAACAGAACATTTTATGAAAGCATACTCATCATGGATCACTTTGAAATACATAGATCTCAACGTTCAAAGTGAGAAATAAAAAGCCTTTATTAAAAGTAGTGCTAGGAAACAGAGAAGAAAGAATAAAATTTACCCATTTGAAATATATGATTTTCAGACTCTAAATGAAGAGTTTGACAATATGATGTTTACAATAATGTCTTTTCCTTAGATTATCTGGATTATGAAAGCAAGCACTTTTTCATTAAAACAATTATATATTAGGAAAAACTGTCATAATAGTATTAATGTGAGGAATTTTTATTATGAAATTCAGGGATAAATTACTGCCCATGATCTGTGTTTTCAATATTGTAAGCAGCAACCATCATGTAATTTCAGATTAACACCAATTCTGTTCCCTGATAGATGGAGCTTAAACAGTATATGCTGCTTTAAATTTCTACCTCTAACAGATCTTTATTGGAGGGAGTTTTCCTTTGTATTTTTTAATGTATGTTATTCTGTTTCCAGTAGCTTGGAAAGTAGAGATGACTAATATTTTAGCCTTTTCTTGGAGAAAAGCAAAAACTCTTGTGAATATTTTCACAAATGATTGTGATTGCTTTAAATGACCTCTGTGGCAATTTAAATTAGATGGATTTAATCTCAGTAATGTGCTGGTCGCATAAATATCATGTTTTAATAGGAAAACTTACTTGTGAATCTTTAGATCTTTGTTGTCACTTAGGTTGGGGAGTCACTACTCTATTTGGCATTTTACTAGTTGGTGGGACCTTTTCTTTGTACAGTGATGGGACTTTTGTGACCTTTTCTCTCACTATGCAATAGACCGTTTCATGCAGATAATCATGTCAAAATTGGGAAGTCTATAACCTGTTTTTTTTTTTTTTTTTTAAATTTCTCTTTATTGTGTCCCTCAATACTTAGCAGATTGTTCATTTGGTGAAATTGTTATTACTTACATGAATGAGTTTCAATTTAGTGGCAAGGAAGAAAAAAAGCTAAAATTATTGTTTTTAAAGAAAAAACTTACAAGGTACATAAATATTTTTAAAAAATCAATTGACCAGGAAGGAATGCATGCTGTTTTTGAATGGTTTAGACATGCTTTTTATTCACAAATTAACATTCACTTTTTTACAACTTGTATTGAAATAAATGATCTTTGTTTTTGTCACAGGCAAAAACAGATTGACACTGGTGGGTTGGCTTTATTAATTTTTTTTTGCTATTAGGTTTTCTTTAATAATGTTACATTTCTTTATTACAGCATATGTTTTAGTTAATTCTGAAATCAGTTACTTCATTTGCTAATTTATCCCTCATATCATGAATATTGTTTTTTAAGTGTTCTACACAAATTTGTGTCACTTTTTTTCCTTACAGCTTTTGCAGTTAATATATTCTAAACTTGAAAATGTGGTATCAATCAATAATAGAAGTATCACTGGAGGACTTATTTAATTTTGTATTTCTTAATTTTAGTCCTAGCTACTAAAGTATATAAGCCTTAAAGTTTAAAATGTTTTTCTTAAATTAGCTGTATACACAAACATTTTTATTTACTTCATGAAATGGGAGGAGTTAGTTCATTGTGCTTGCTTTTTTTCCCTTTAATTTCCATATTCTGAAGCAGTACAGATAGAGGGTATGCTAATCAACTGAGCAAGGTGGAATATGTACAATATAAGGAAAAGATGTATAATTCACAGTATAAAATTATGAAGTTTGGTACATAATTGTAAATGTACTGTATTTATATGTAACTCTCATTCTAAAAGTTGCCACAAAAGCTGAATTGGAAGCTTCATGTCTGCATGAAATTTCCTATATTTTTAATGTGTATGATGAAATTAATTTTTCTTGAATATTAAAGTCTGCCAATTGCTATGAAACAATAGTTGCTTTGTTGTTTTCCTCTAAGTTAGTGTAACTTTAGATTACTAACTTCAATGAGTTGAGCAGATACACTTTTAAACTCTTGGATTAGTCTATTTTTATATGCTTCTACAAAGCCAGTAATGTGAGTACTTGGCCTTATGATATGCCAGGTCTCATACTAATTATTTTCACTTTGTTTCATTCAAGTTCACTGTATTAAAGCTAGAATCCACTGAGGAAAAAGAATAATCTTGTTTTTTAGTTTTGTTAAATAATAGAAACAGAACTATAAAAGGAACTAGTAGAAGACAGTTCTAGGATCAGCCATTAGTGGGATGAGCACTTACGATTGTTTTTGATGTCAGGCAAGCTACTCTTAGCTTCTTTCCTCACCTGTAAGATAGGATTAATATCATCTATTTCAAATGGTATTTTGTTTTCTTTTTTTTTTTTTTTTGAGACAGAGTTTCACTGTTGTTACCCAGATTGGAGTGCAATGGCACGATCTGGGCTCAGCGCAACCTCCGCCTTCTGGGTTCAAGCAGTTCTGCCTCAGCCTCCCAAGTAGCTGGGACTACAGGCGCGCACCACCATGCCCAGCAAATTTTTGTATTTTTAGTAGAGACGGGGTTTCACCTCGTTGACCAGGATGGTCTCAATCTCTTGACCTCGTGATCCACCCGCCTTGGCCTCCCAAAGTGCTGGGATTATAGGCGTGAGCCATTGTGCTCGGCCTTCAAATGGTTTTTTAAATTAGGTCATATGAGCTTGTATTTGTGTGTATGAAAGCACATGTATTTGTATTTTTGTGTGTATGAAAGCACATGATAGACAATTACCATAAATGTAATTTCTGTCTGTGTTGACTGCTATAGCGAGAGAAAAAAATGATTAACAGGACATTAGTTTTAATAGTCTTTTTTTTTTTTTTTTTTTAGGGAGGGAAGGAGGAAGGGAGGAAGGCAGGAAGGGAGGGAAGGAGGAAGGGAGGGAGGAAGGAAGGGAGGAAGGGGGGAGGGAGGAAGGAAGGGAGGGAAGGGAAAGGAAGGAAGGAATTCAAGCAATGAGAGAGACATTGCCAACCTGGATCTAGAGGTTTACAAGTTGATTTCTTTTTTTGAGAGAAGGAAAAAAAAAACGAGTAAAGGAGAGGAAGAGAGAGAGGGAGGGTGAATGGAAATACTGCTTTATTCTGAAAAAAAAAATGGGTATTGATAATGGCCAATCAATGTTTCATTTAAACCTATGAGTAGGTGTGATGTGGTATTGACAAGAATGTATATTTTATGTATTTGAAGTGGAGAGCTCTATAAATATTTATTAAGTTTACTTGTTCCGGATCTGAGTTCGAGTCCTTGATATCCTTATTAATTTTCTGTCTCATTGAATCTACGTCTCTATGTATCTGGGTGTTAGGATCGTTAGCTCTTGTTGTTGTATTGATCCTTTTACCACTACATCTTTGTTGCTTTAAAATCTATTTTATCCGTTACGAGAATTGCAACTCCTGCTTTTTATTTATTTATTTATTTATTTATTTTTGCTCTCCATTTGGTTGGTAAATCTTTCTCCATCCCTTTGTTTTGAGTCTTTGTGTATCCTTGCATGTGAAACAGGTCTGGATGTGACATGCCATTGGGTTTTGGCTGTGTCTTTTGATTGGGGGATTTAGTCGATTTAAATTTAGGGTTACTGCCATTTGATGTTAACTGGCTGTTTGATCCATTCGTTGATGAAAATTCTTCTTTATGTTGGTGCTCTTTACTTTTTGGTATATTTTTAGTAAGGCTAATACTGGTTGTTTCTTTCTGTGTGTAATGCCTCTTTCAGAAGCTCTTGTAAAGCAGGCCTGGTGGTAATAAAATCTCTGAATACTTGCTTGTTCATAAAAGATTTTATTTTTCCTTCAGTTCCATTAATTCACTTATATTCCTCTCTAAGTTGTCTATTCTCAATAGGATTTTGTCAAACCTTTTCTGTGAAGCTTAGTTTGGCTGGATATGAAATTCTGGGCTGAAGGTTCTGTTCTTTGAGGATGTTGAATATTGGCCCCCACTCTCTTCTGGCTTGTAGAGTTTCTGCTGAGAGATCTGCTGTAAGTCTGATAGGCTTGCCTTTGTGGGTAACCTGACCTTTCTCTCTGGCTGCCCTTAGTATTTTCTCCTTCGTTTCAACCCTGGTGAATCTAATGATTATGTGCCTTGGGGTTGCTCTTCTTGAGGAATATCTTTGTGGTGTTCTCTGTATTACCTGGGGTTGAATATTGACCTGCTTTGCTAGTTCAGGAAAATTTTCCTGAATAATATCCTGAAGGGTGTTTTCCAGCTTGGATTCATTCTCTCCGTCACATTCAGGTACACCTATCACAGGTAAATTTGGTCTTTTCACATAGTCCCACATTTCTTGGAGACTTTGCTCATTCCTTTTTATCCTTTTATCTCTAATCTTATCTTTTTGTTTTCTTTCATTAAGTTGGACTTTGACCTCTGATATCCTTTCTTCTGCTTGAACAATTCGAGTGTTTAAACCTGTGCATACTTCTCGGAGTTCCTGTATTGTATTCTTCAGTTCCATTAATTCACTTATATTCCTCTCTAAGTTGTCTATTCTCAATAGGATTTCTTCAAACCTTTTTTCAAAGTTCCTAGTTTCTTTACATTGGGCTACAACATGTTCTTTTAACTCACAGAAGTTTCTTATTATCCATTCCTTGAAGAGTGATTCTGTCATTGGGATGAGCCCATTCTCCGTCAAGCCTTGTTCCATTGTTGATGTGGAACTGTGATCATCTTTAGAGGGAGAGGCGTTCTGATTTTGAGTATTCTCAGCCTTTTTACACTGGTTTCTTCCCATCATTGTAAATTTATCCTCCTGCTGTCTTTGAAATTACCAACTTCAGATTAGGTCTCTTGATTGGACGTCCAAGTTGTTAGTTCCCAGGGCCAGAACGGTGGCCTTAAGACTGATGGTGCTTTTCTGCCCAGGATTCTCCTGTATGGCTTCCCTTTTTTTTTTTTTTTTTTTTTTTTGAGACGGAGTTTCGCTCTTGTTACCCAGGCTGGAGTGCAATGGCGCGATCTCCGCTCACCGCAACCTCCGCCCCCTGGGTTCAGGCAATTCTCCTGCCTCAGCCTCCTGAGTAGCTGGGATTACAGGCACGCACCACCGTGCCCAGCTAATTTTTTGTAATTTTTAGTAGAGACGGGGTTTCACCATGTTGACCAGGATGGTCTCGATCTGTTGACCTCGTGATCCACCTGCCTCGGCCTCCCAAAGTGCTGGGATTACAGGCTTGAGCCACCGCGCCCTGCCCTGGCTTCCTTCTTGTGTCCGTAATGGGTGACTCTGCCTTCCCCAGGCTCCAAACCTCGGTCAGAAGGGGAACCAGTCTCATTTACTCTGCGCTGAGAGCTGCCGCACTGAGGTGCAGTCATGGCCGTTGCGCCAGTCTCAGGAGTCGTGCTGGGGACCCGTGTGGGTCCTCCAAACCTCAGTCAGAAGGGGAGCCGGCCCTGTTTACTCTGCTCCGAGAGCTGCCACGCCGAGGTGCCGGTGAAGCCGCTGCACTGGCCACAAGCGTCGCGCTGGCGGCCCGTGTGGGTCCTCCAAGCCTCGGTCAGAAGGGGAGCCAGCCCTGTTTACTCTGCTCCAAGAGCTGCTGCGCCGGCCACAAGAGTCGCGCTGGAGACTCGTGTAGTTCCTCCACTGGGGATCTTCTGCTCTGTGAGCTACCAGAATTTGCCTGAAAGTGTGGCGTCCTCTAGTTCTCTGCGCTTTGACTGAGAGCTGCAATCCCAAGCTGTTATCGATGGGCCATCTTGGATCATTCCAGTTTTAATAGTCTTATGGTGACCCTTTGAAAAAGGTTTCTATGGAATCCTGGGGAAAACAGTAAAAAATGGTAGGTACAGATACAGATTCCATAAGTTTGGTGAGAATTACAATGAAATATAATAGTAGGTAATGGGAGAGGGCATAAGTAAAATTTAATGGCATGTTACCCCCACTTTCATCAGCCTGCTAGCACATCTTTTTTATATATGTTTGATTCTTTCACTTTGGTATCTATTTAGATTTGGGGTCCTTCAGTCAATGTGTATGTGCATTTTCAGTTAAGTTGCCCTTTAGAAGGACTGCACCAATTTACATGCCAAGAACAGTATTTAAAACATCCATTCCCTGGCCAATACTGGATATTGCTGAGCTTTTCATTTTTGTCATTATAGGCATACCCCATTTTATTCTACTTTGCTTTATTTTGCAAATACTTTGCTTTATATTGCAGATACTGGTGTGTGTGTGTGTGACAAATTGAAGATTTGTGGCAACCCTGCATTGAACAAGTCTATACTGGCATCATTTTCCAACAGCATGTGCTCACGTCATGTCTCTCTGTCAGCATTTGTAGCAAATATTTTTAAATTAAGTATCTACATTGTTCTTTTAGACAAGATGCTATTGCACATTTAATAAACTACAGTATAGTGTAAACATATACTGTACTTTTTTTTTTTAATAGAGATGGGGTGTCACCATGTTGGCCAGGCTGGTCTCGAACTCCTGACCTCGGGTGATCCACCCATCTCTGCCTCCCAAAGTGCTGGGATTGCAGGCATGAGCCACTGCGCCGGGCCCATAAACATACTTTCATATGCACTGGAAAACCCAAAAATTTGTGTGACTCACTTTATCACGATGGTCTGGAACTAAGTCTGCAGTATCTCCAAGGTATGCCTGTATAACAAGTGGTATCTAGGCCAGGCGTGGTGGCTCACGCCTGTAATCCAAGCACTTTCAAGGCCAAGGCGGGCAGATCACCTGAGGTCGGGAGTTCAAGAACAGCCTGACCAACATGGGGAAACCCCATCTTTATTTAAAAAAAAAAAAAGTGGTATCTAATTTGAATATTCATTTATCTAATTATTGGAAAAGTTAAGCAATTTCTCTGAGTTTAATGGCCAAAGTGGCTTTAATCTGCCAGTCTATATGATTTCATGTGGCAGACCTGACAGATCATTGGCAACAGCTCCAAAGCTAATTAAAACATAGTGATGTTCATCAGTGGGGGTACTGGCCAGAGCCATAAGAACTGAGTCATTGCCTCTCTGCATACTCAGGCAGCCATTAAGCCTCCTCCTGGAGATCTATATACTTCTTCTGGACCCCTGGGTTGGGGGGGTCAGTCTGTGCAGTACTTCTTAAGAGTGAGATGGAGTAAGATGTAGACTAAAAAGTGCAGTCATAAAATGCATGAATTATATTATACATATATTGAATTGGTCTAAAGAGCCCTGGTGACATTATTTTTGAGGTGTCCAGCTCCTGATCAAAAACCTGGGGGCTGCGATAGAACAGAAAATAGTTGGTGCTTTCTCTAGTTTAACCTCTTCCTATTTTACTAAGTGCTTAAAGCTTTGACTGTTTGATCTGCCAGTTCATCTCTGGCCCCTAACAGTTTCAGTTTTCCTTCTCTACTCAAAGCCCTCCAAAGTGCTGGAATTGTGGGCATGAGTCACCATGCCTGGCCAAGTTCTGCTTTTTGTTTTGTTGTTGTTGTTGTTTTCTTTTGAAATGGATTCTTGCTCTGCTGCCCAGGCTGGAGTACGGTGGCGTGATCTTGGCTTACTGTAATTTCTGCCTCCTGGGTTCATGTAATTCTCCGGCATCAGCCTCCTGAGTAGCTGGGATCATAGGTATTGTATTTTTCATAGAGACAGGGTTTCACCTTGTTGACTAGGCTGGTCTCAAACTCTTGACCTAAAGCATCAATTTTTGGGAACTCAGCCTCCCAAAGTGCTAAAATTACAGGCATAAGCCACTGCACCTGGCCCCCATTGATGTTTTTGATTGATCTCATCAGAAGACTTATGTTGTCTATCATTGTATTTCAGATGACTGCAGTTCTAAAGCTGGGTGTACACAACCATAGTGATATTCATATGTATATTTTGCTTTTTCACCCATTTATGAATATAGTTCATCTGCTTATAAGTGTTATATCCACGCAATTGTCATTTGTATGCCTAAAAATATGTTATCGCCTATTTTATTGTGTGAAGTGGCCTACAAAGTGTTCTCTTGTGCTTTTATGTATCTCAAATCCCCTTTTAAAAATGTAAATAATTTTATAAAAAATAATTTTTAAGATTTTTCCCCCTACATTATATTTTCAAGATTTTGAAATTTTGGGATTACAATTTTCTGTATATTTAGACTTAAGAGATTTTGATCTTTCAGGATTTCAGTATTTGAGATTATGGCATTCAGGATGTCTTTCGGGATTATGGTTCAAACTCCCTTTCTGTCCATGCTCATGCCACTGTGTTCTGCCCTGCAGTCTTCCAGCCTTGGCCACCGCAGCACCCAGAGCCCTGTCCTGACTATAAACCAGGTTGGACTGTTGACAGGACCAGGTGTTTGGCTTTATATTATTAGGCAAGGCTTTTCCTTTACTCACTTTTAAGGGCCACTCATGTTCAATTCAACGAAATTAACTCTGTCTTCAGGTCACTCACAGCTCTATATTGAATAGTGAAGCCTTCATTGCTGACATTAATTTACCTTTGAGAATTCTCCACCTCAGCAGCCACAGCCATACTGCCTTTTAGCTGGGGCCATGGAACTTGCTGCTCTGTTGTCATGATAACATTTCCTCTTTCTGCCTGGAAGAGAATGGGCAACAATTAAGTTACAATTTGGGTGACTTATTTCAGTCCTGCTTCTAGCAGCTCTAAACGGGAAGAAGTAGGGTCTCCTGCCAATTGGGCAGTAGTATTCATTACTGGATCTTGGGAGGCTTATTTTCTTGAACTGGCCTGCAGAAACTTGTCCTTCCTAATCCAGAAAGCCATGTCTATCAGCATCATTTCTTTATCAGCAAAACTGCTAGGTCTGCTATTAGATTTTACCCTTTTTACAATCTAACAAGTTAAGTCTGTTACACCTTTCTAGATGCTGGTAAAGACATGAGAAGAGTTCTGTGTACTCTCACCCAGCTTCCCCCAAAGATAGCATTTTAAATAACCTTATTACTGAAACCTTGAAGTTTACATTGGCACAATACTATTACTAAACTATTGATGGACCTTGTTTGAAGTTTACCAGTATTTGCATGCACTGTTGTTTTTTACCCCTCATTTTTTCACTTTTAACCCACCTTAATATTTAACATGGATTTCTCATTAACAGCACATACCTTGGTCTTGCTTTTTAAATTTTAGTTAATGCACAGTATTTGTAGATATTTATGGGGCACATGTGATATTGTTACATGCATAGAATGTGTGATGATCAATTTAGAGTAGTTGGGGTATCCATCACCTTGAATATTTATTTCTTTATATTAGGAACGTTCCAAATCCTTTTTTCTAGTTATTTTGAAATATATAATACATTGTTGTTAACTATTAGCTATAGTCATGCTACTTTGTATAAAACATTAAAACTTATTCTATCTAACTGTATGTTTATACCCATTAACCAACTTCTCTTCGTAGCCACTCCCACTCATATGTGCTACCTATCCTCTGATAGCTATCATTCTACTCTACCTCCATGAAATCAACTTTCTCAGCTCCCACATATGAGTGAGAACAAGTAATACGTGTTGTGCCTGGCTTATTTAACTTAATGTCCTCCAGTTCCATCCATGTTGCCACAAATGGCGTGATTTCATTCTTTTTTACGGCTGTATAGTCCTCCATTGTTCATCTGTTGATAGACATGTAGGTTGATTATCTTTGCTGTTATCAGTAGAGCTGTCAGAAACATGGAAGTGCATGTATCCCTCTGATCTACTATTTCCTTTGGATAAGTGCCCAGTAGAAGAATTGCTAGGTGGTATTGTAGTTCTATTTTTAGTTTTCATCTGTATTGTTTTCCACAGTGGCTGAACTAATTTACATATCCACCAACAGTTTGAGTTCCCTTTTCTATACATCCTCACCAGCATCTGTAATTTTTTGGCTTCTTAATAATACTTATTGTAAGGCAAAATGATACCTCATTATGATGTATTACTATTTTTTTGGATCAATCAACCTTTAATGTCCAAAAGAGGTGTGGATGCAGACCATAGGAGATAGGGCAGCATCTCAGGCCCTGCTCCAGAAATGAGGGAGAGATGAACACAAACCAGACACTTTCAACTGGCCATGCAATCTGGGAGGTCAGGGGGAAACACAGATTTGGACATTGGTAAAAAAATAAAACCTAAAATCAAGCACTCAAGTTTGTGCCCATTGAAGGGTTTGATATAAGGACCTCAGTCACCATCCAGGTCCCTCTTCCCCTACCAACATCAAAAAGCCAAGCTCTGCACACAGGAAGGGATTAGGGAGGAGCATTCTCCTGCCTCTCCACCAGCCCCAAGAATGGACTTGAAAATAAAAGAAGCTGGGTCCCCCCACCCCTTACACTGTCAACCCTACACGTGAGAGTTTTGAAGGCCACTCATAAGAATCAGCAACTCAAATAGCAATGACTACCCCACCCTAAACCCACCCCACTCCTATTTCATTAACAGACAAGATTTCCCCTCGTACTCCTTGGAATCTCCTTCCCTTATGCCCTCATGGCCTTGTTCCATCTCCTGATATCTGGCTTCACCACTGCAAGACTGACCTTTTCCAATGCTCCCCAGAAGCTCCTCTCAGCTCTTTATCATATCCATCCTCACCTCCCACCAGAGACTGCAAACATCCAGTCACTGTCCCTGTGCACTGAGACCCAGTTCCAGAGCAGATGGTAGCATGATCATCCTGTCCTGGGTGGTCCTCCTAAAGCCTTCACAGGGAGCAGATAGCCAGAGAGCAAGCAAGAGTGTCTGGGCTAAATGACAGCGAGGGGACACCTATCTTTACTTCTAAAACAGGTATCCCCAGAGGCTTTTAACATAAAAGCCCACTTAGAACTAATTGTGCTCTCTATCTACCCATACACCCTAGAGATTCCAAACGGCCCTCCCCGCTCCCTCCCCTCAACCCTCCCCACCCCAAACACACACATATATACACAGGAGAGTCAAGAAAGACATTGATTTGGTTTGATTGCTAAGACCTAACTAAGGAACTACAGTCATCTTTAATTCCCTTGCCAGCCAACTAACAACAGGGGCTGCTCTAAGAGAACTGCAGAGGAATGAGAAAACAGGGCTAAGCAGGGAGCAGACAGAAGAATGTAAAGAAAAAAAAAAAAACAAGTGAATCCTACCCCCAACATCCTCCTATCATGATCTCTGGCAGGAGGAAGAAGGTCATCCACCAAGACACAGCCGTTACTTAGAAATTCTGACAAAGATAGCAAGACAAGTTTGCTCCCCACTCCCACACACCACAAACACATCTCAGGGCCCCCTAAAGACTGCATCCCCACCCCACCCTCTGCCCCAAGCCATAGAATCACAGTTCAGTGGAATATTCTCTCTCTGGTACTAGATCAATCCCTCCACTTTCCTTCCTAATCCCTTTCTCCTTGACGATCCCAACACTGCCCCCCTGCAGCCTCCCTGGCCCTGCAAAAGCAGCGTCCACTGCCAGGAAGAGGCAGCTTGCACAGTTTTAGTTTCACCTCCAGAGACCTATTTCTTTTCCTCAGCCCTCCTAGTGCTTCGGCCACCTAGTCTTTGTGGAGGGCTTTTTATTTTGTATAGAGAAAGAAAGAGAAAATGGAGAGGTGAGATTTCCTAGTGCAATAAAACTGAAAAAAAAAATTTTTTTAATCTTGAAAAATAAGCATAACGCAGCCTTCTTCCCCAGGCAACAAAACAGAAAGAGGTTTTGTTTTGTTTACTGCAACGTACACAAGAAATAGAGTATACAGTCCATGCAGTAGGGTACAACAGCCATTGGAAAGGACGTCCTGATGCCTCTGCCCCAAGCCATAGATGCACTGCCCCAAGTGCCAAACAGTCCCAGCAACGCCGCTTGCTGCCGCAGCCACTGACACCTTCACCATGGTCACCTAGCCTGACTTGAAGAGGAGGATTGCAACTTGACCCAAATAAAAATAGATGAAGCACTTTGTCTAGTGTGAAATAGCTGCCAAATTTTTGGCCCACCATACAATGCCAGGTAGGGTTATATTTCTTGTCAAATTCCTTATTGATATAGGCAGCAATGGCCTTCTCTAAGTTGTACTTCGGCCTGGCCTGCGTGGCGCAGTCAACAGCATCCTGTTGCATGTCCTCAGACATGTCTGCGTTCTTGATCACTGCCTTTCGATCAGACATAGTGACACTTCACGGAGGTGAGTCCGCACGGACCCCTGGGGAGTAGCGATGACCCAAGGCAGAGCGTGGGCAGGGGCGGTGTCCCCTGGGCTCTTCATGCAGCAGCCGTAGCCGCTGCGGCCTCTGGCTCCCGCAGCCCTGGGTGGATCGCTCCCCGCCGCTGTCGGCCCTTGGAGTTTCGCCGGCCGCCCACGCTCCGCCACGCGCCGCTGGCCACCTGCCCGCTAGGCTCTGCTGCTCTATTATTATTATTATTATTTTATTGGTTTGAGACGAAGTCTCCCTCTCTTGCTCAGGCTGGAGTGCAGTGGTGCGATCTCGGTTCACTGCAAACTCCGCCTCCCAGGTTCAAGCAATTCTCTTGCCTCAGCCTCCCAATTAACTGGGATTACAGGCCTGCACCACCACACCCGGCTAATTTTTTTTTTTTAAATGCTTACTTGCCATTTGTATATCATCTTTGATGTGGTGTGTTTGTTTGGATATTTTTGCCGCCCCCCCCCCTCTTTTTTTAACCTAAAGTCCATTTATTCCTTTTTTTAAAAATTGTACCTTAGGTTCTGGGGTACATGTGCAGATGATGCAAGATTGTTGCATAGGTACATTCATGGCAAGATGGTTTGTTGCACCATCCCCCCATCACCTACACCTGACATTTCTCCCCAGGTTATCCCTGCCCCACCCTCTCTCCCACTATCCCTCCTGTAGCCCCCCTCAACAAACCCCAGTGTGTGATGCTCCCCTCTTTGTGTCCAAGTGTTCTCACTGTTCAACACCTGTCTATGAGTGAGAACATGCAGTGTTTGATTTTCTGTTCTTTTGTCAGTTTGCTGAGAATGATGGTTTCCAGGTTCATCCATGTCCCTACAAAGAACACAAACTCATCCTTTTTATGGTTGCATAGTATTCCATGGTGTATATGTGCCACATTTTATTTGTCCAGTCTATCATTGATGGGCATTTGGGTTGGTTCCAGGTCTTTGCTATTGTAAACAGTGCCGTGATGAACATGCGTATGGTGCATGTGTCTTTATAATAGAATGATTTATAATTCTTTGCATATATACCCAGTAATGAGATTGCTGGGTCAAATGCAATTTCTATTTCTAGATCCTTGAAGAATTGCCACACTGTCTTCCACAATGGTTGAACCAATTTACACTCCCACCAACAGTGTAAAAGTGTTCCTATTTCTCCACATCCTCTCCAGCATCTGCTGTTTCCAGATTTTTAATGATTGCCATTCTAACTGGCGTGAGATGGTATCTCAATGTGGTTTTGATTTGCATTTCTCTAATGATCAGTGATGATGAGCATTTTTTCATGTTTGTTGGCTTCAAATATGTCTTCTTTTGAAAAGTGTCTTTCATATCCTTCTCCCGCTTTTGGAAGGGTTTGTTTTTTTCTTGTAAATCTGTTTCAGTTATTTGTAGA